ACCGTTTACTTCCATTGGTTCTACGGCGATCGCGGGGGGAAACGTCATTAGGCTCTCAGTCGAGTCAAGAGGGAATAAGGAACGAGACAGTGTAAGAGGGAGTGGCCTGCGGTGCGCGTCGGACCGGCAGACCCCATCTTTGTTGCTGATGAAGGCTAGGCAGCTCGTGCATGACCTCTTAATTAAACTACCAAGACGGACGACTTACTGAGGATATGCGTGATTAGCGATCTGGCAAGAAATCGGAGAGCTGGTCCGGATTGAGGCTTCAAGGTGCTAGGATGGATGATGGAACGGGGTTGGAGAGGTGCGTAAACAAATCTTCGAATGTGAACAGAGCGGGAAAGGGGCCGGTTAAGGACGAGGTCGAGTTGGCCGTTGCACACACAGCACGAAGAACACGAAATGGAATCTTTCGCACACAAACAACTGTTTAGGATGGGCTGTCAACGTGGGCAACCGCCCGGTTCGCACTGACCTGGTCCTGTAAGAGCAGAATACACACCCCGGGATGTTTCTTGGTCTCGCTTGCAAGAAAGAGTTTAGCTTAGGATGCGGGGGAGTTCGCACAGGTGTGACAGAAGGGAGTTTCAGACGAGTGCCGTCCCACCCGAATTTTGCAAAAGCACTCCGCGGCTGACCGGTGCGATCAACAAAATTCACTTTTGCGTCAAGAAACGGACAAAATTGAATCCATCCGGTCCGCTCCTCCGGTCGACGTTTCTACAGTATTTAAACGCTTCTTTAAAATCAAGATCTGTCTGTTCGATCGGCAAAGATAAACAAGGAAAGTTAAATCAGGCAGTAGCTATCGAGATTGAACCTTTGAACCAATCCCGATCATAATCTCGATGGTTCTGAGCGAAAAGGCCAAGACGGCATGCCGTTTTTGACATGTCACACACTGCAAGCTCTGCCTGCCGTAATCGTCGGCCACGATTAGTCGTGAGTAGATCCTCATCCACCTGCAGCAACTCAACTCAACTCAACTTACATCTTGCCAGAACTACAAGTCTGATCCCAAAGCCGTGCACCATCTGTGGACCCCTCGAGTTGACAAATGAACCATCCACCCGTCTCACAATGATCAATCTTTTGTCGTGCCATTCGTAGCGATCTGCTTGCAACGCTTGGCATTGTGTTCAATCGCAAATGTTGATAAATCTGAACTGTCCGAATCAACTTCTCACAACTCGCTAGACGGTGTCGAAAGCTTATCTTTCCGCTCGCTCTCACCAGTAAGACTTTATTTGACCTTTCAGCCCGTACGATTGCCTTATTGAGCAAGTTTTCAACGCCTACCTGAGCAACGACGAAGAAAGTCAACTTTCAGTCATAGGAAGTAGTGCAAGGGTCACGCTTGTCCACTGGTCCCTGTCCCGTTGCATACCTCTGCCGCTTCGTTCCTAGCGATGTATTCAAGCCTTTTGTTCAACCCGGATCGTATATATACAGAAAGCGATCTACATTCTTCTCCTCAGATCGCCCATTCTCAGACCCTTCTCGTTCACCACTGTATCTTCTTGTCGCCGTTTCTCTCCAACAGCCTTGTTCGACTAGAGCCTTCGATAGGCCCGCACTATTGTGCCAATACTCCCGCTGTCTTTGATCCTTCAACACCTTCAACCTTCGCTTGTACCCTTTCGCTGAAGCTCGCCGGTCGAGTTTCCACCCATCGCCTACGCTCACGCAAGCATTTGTATCATCTCTCTTGCTTGATCTGTACAACATTTTCGCCTGCATTCGCATTCCCACCAACACCGTATCAGAATCATTCTTACGCTCATCTCACAGCCATCCGTCATCCGTTCCCCAATATACCATCAAACCAGCCCTGAAGTCACAGGCCCCTTACGAGACAGTTACCTTTCTGAGAGCAGCCTTCGAAGCCGACCTGAGCGTCAGCCTACACGCCACTCAACCCAAGTTCTTGAGACCGCCCATCCAATCCACCATTCTGCACCCCCCTGCATCCTCCAAACTTTCCACTGCGTTTAAGTACGAAACGCTAGCTTCCGCCAAGTCACATTTTTGTTCACAGAAGTATACCTCACTCAACCCTTCACTGGCCCCTTCTTCCCGCTCAGGATAGATACGATATCTCATCCCAACAAGCACCTGAAGACCGATTTAAAAAATTGCACAATTAAAAGCAATGTGTGCCTTCAAGCAGCTCCTCGTCGCAATCTCTCTCTTCCTCCTGATCGTGCAAGCCCACCAGGCCTCAGCTCGACCCGTGCAGAATGCTGCTGATCCAGAAGTTTATGGTGTGATGGTTACACAGCCGAAAGTGTCTATGCCGAATGCCAGTACGGACAACGAGGGGGCGACGATGGACTCCGAGGCGGTGCTCAAGGCTCTTCAGACCCTGGCGAATGGGATTCAGCCGGCTCAGGAAGGTGGTGAGACGCTCGTCATTGACCATGGTCAAGGCGGAGCCGTTGACCCCAATGCCGCGACCAATACTAAAGACAAGGAAGACGGGGGCACGGGAAAAGGTACGTCCAACAAGAACGGCACGAATACCGTTAAGGATTCCAAGGATGCCCAGAACATAGACGATACAAAGAAAAGCGGCAGTTCTGACAAGGACAAGAACAAGAACAAGGATCAAGACACGAGCAAGATAGACAACAGGAAGTCAGTCCGCAATACCCTTCTCCAGATGCCCCGAACTCGCTTTTGTGCGCAACCTGCCAACACGAACCACACGATAGACGACATCTCTACCAAGCTCGTTCAAGCAGAACGTAAACGTCTGGCCGCTATCCGCGAAAAGCGCACGTCCTCGCTCTACAAGACTGATCCGCGCTCGCTGACAGATGCCAAGCTTCTCGCTGAACAGAGCAAGACTGTCCAGATTGTCTGGCATGTCATTCATTCGGGAACAAGCGGTAATCTCTCTCAAACCATGATCAACGATCAAATCCAGACCCTGAACGACGATTACAAATCATACGGATTTAATTTCAACCTGAACCTGACGAATCGCGTTGATAATGCTACATGGTACCGCAACATCGATCCGGACTCGCCGTTGCAGACGCAGATGAAGACGCAGCTTCATAGAGGCGATGAGAAGACTCTGAATCTCTACAGCGTCGACTTCAACAACGGACTTTTGGGATACGCTACTTTTCCCTTTGACGTAAAGAATAATCTAAACAATGATGGTGTAGTGTTCCAGTACAGTACGGTGCCAGGAGGAAGCGAGACAGGATACAATCTGGGTAAGACAGCAACGCATGAGGTTGGACACTGGTTGGGGTTGTACCACGTGTTCCAGGGAGGCTGCCAAAGCCCAGGCGACTATGTTGACGACACTCCGCCCCAAAGCACTGCTACAAACGGATGCCCGGCGGGTCAGGATAGTTGCAGAGGTGGCGGTGTCGATTCAATTCACAAGTAAGTCACCAAGCGTGGACATTGCCTAAACTGAACTACAATATCACAGTGACTGACTGGCTCTCTTTTGAGATTCCTCCTCTTCTCCTCGTTGGCGCCCTAATTCCTGCCGACTCAGCTACATGGAGTAAGTACCGCCATGTGTCGTGGCTAACTGCGACGCTATTGTGATAGATAATGCTGACCTGCACATCTCTTTCCCTCTTTCCCTCTGTGTGACGGCCACAGCTACTCAAGCGACGCATGCCTGACAGAATTTACCGAAGGTCAAGCAGTCCGAATGGCCGCCCTTGTTGGACAGTACCGCTCCCTATAGACTCTCACGCATGATGTATATACGATGATCTCTTCATATGCTTTATGTTTTGCCATGTCCACATCATACAGAAAAATTCACATGCTTGCTTTAATGACCGCCGCCGCTGACCTTGATGCCGAGCACACCCTCAACCTCGTCCAACTCGAGTCCACACCCCTTCAATCTCTCGACGAATTCGCCAAGATTCTCAATCACTTCGCAGCCTGTTCGCAGCTTTTCTCCTTCATCCTGTTCCTCGCTCTTGTTATCCGAGTGATTCTTTGCTAGAGCGCATGATAGCAAAGCCTGCTCCCTAGTTCCAGTCTTTGCCGAATCCTTTTCCAGTATACAGGTCCAAGAACGCTGCACTCTGAGCTGGATAGCATGCCACTGTAATCCTTTAACCCGCCTGACCATCTCGTCGACTGCTTCTTTCTCGCCTTCAAAGCAGAGATAGCCGGGATATCCAGCGCGCAAAACGCCCCAGAGGCTAAGTTCGGGACACCAGTTGTTGAAGTCTTTGAGTTTCGATGGCGCGATGAGGTGGTGGCTCCAAAACATCGCACGAGACAGCTCAATGGGTGAGAGGTCCGTAGACCTCGATGGAGAGTCGGATTTAGGGGAGTTGTTGAAGATGTTCGAGTCGTTTTGCGAGGCAAGCAGATCCGGCTTGTCACCGAGCAGAGTTTGAGCAGTGGCCAAGAGGTCAAAAAAGAACAGAGAGTCTATGCCGTCTTCTTCCCATTGCTTGGAGCGGTCGATCAGAGCGCTTCTGATCTTTGCGATGCTTTCCCATGCCAAGCTCGGAGCGGATACATCGACCGCCGCTTCCAGCTTGGAAGTGTGCGGAGATTGAGAAAGAAGCGAAAATCTCAATGCAACTCCCGGAAGAACTTGAATCTTGCCCGTCAATCCAGGGACATACTCTGTTAAGGCTGACAATGAAGATGGCCGTTGCACGAATCCCAACCAAGCCTCCCGTTCCGACAATGAGGCTCCTTCCCATGACCACTCATCTTCGGGTGAAGATTGTATCACCATGTCAAGGTCCTGCGCCACATCGTCGAGGACCCTATAACGAAGCGTAAGTAATGGCGCTGAAGCCATCACATATATGCGATCTATGATATGGTACGATCTTCCAAAGGAATCAGATCCACCAGTCCATTCAGAACGCTGTGACATTTGAGGAACGGAGCTCTCCTCCACCTGGGCAAATCCAGCTCCGAAAGAACAAATCCTTGCGACAAACATCATATATTCTATATTTGCTATATTCTTCAATTGTGGATCAGTAGGCGCTCTGCCCGAGTGGTTAAGGGGTAAGTCTCGAATCAATGTGTTTCGATCATCTCCCTCAAGATGAGTTAACTTATAGGCTCTGCCTGCGTCGGTTCAAATCCGACGGGCGTCGTTTTTTATGCGAGTTGAATAATGAAGATATCGTTTTTGCCAAGAACGACGTGGAATGCTTGAAACACCATATCAGGATTCCATGCACATTCGGTCGGTGTTTTAGACAGCCAGAGCGAAATGTGGGAAATTTCAACGTAGCAAGAGATTGAGGCTAAGCGGGCAGACGACAAGACGGCATCTAATTCTTCTAAGAATGCTATTCTCAGCGGTCGATTGTTGAAACGAACCTGTCATTTAAGAATGCGACCAGTACCGTATGAGCGGGACCTGTCTTTTTTCACACGTATGTCATATAGAGACACGGCACACTCAGGCACGAACGCTGCTGTGGTTGGATCGGAGAAATTTGCTTCTCGCAGCAACGGACAAGTGCATCGATGTGAACCTTGCGACGATCAAAAGTACAAACTAATTTAGCGATTCTCAATTATTTTTTCGATGGATGAGTGGATGAAGTTTTGAGATCTCGAGCGGCACCAAAGAGTGCGAGGGTATAAAGATTCATCCTGGGTGGCGTCGATCGCAGAATGTGAGAACGGATGCAGCGACCAAAAAGAGAAATAAGATGGAAATATGGTGGATGTTTGCACATCTGCAAGTCTTGCGATGAGTGAACGAACACAAGGAAAACCGGATTTCTGGATCGTTCGGGAATGAAAGCTCAACCCACGGTCCAATACTAGCCAACTCTGACGAAGTGGAGGAAAAAAGTGCTAGCTGCTGCTCAACTCAAGTTAGTTCTGAAAGGGTGGCACCGCTCGAGAAAATCGAACAACTCCCTCCAACATGCATCTCTGCTGTACCGTACTGCACGGTTGCATTGTTTCTGCAGCAACTCGCATGCTCCTGTCAGTTTGTCCGTTTGTATGCAGATGTCGACAAGTTGCCAAATGCACCTGGACTGCCTCGCAAGGACCTTTTGGACAGTCTCCAGAGAAGCCTCCCCCTAACCCAATGAGCACTTTTCCACGGTCCGACGAGGCGCTTGGATCTCGCGCATGCATTTGCGTTTGGTACTGCGAAATCAGTTCATTCGGTAGTGCAAGTGAAGCTTCTGGTGTAGTGAGGTTGCAGCAGGAACCATGGCGCTCTACTGCGCACCATGGTCCGAAGAGAAAGAAGCCCTTTTCGAAAGCGCTCAAGAAATCAACGGAAAGCAGGAACTCGGATTTTCTCACAAGGGCCACGGTCTGGCGGGACGGAAAGCAGCCCTCCTTGAAGTTGAAGGTTGTTATTCTTGGTTCTTATTTGCTTGATTTTTCTGACTATTTACATGCTGAATCTTCGGGTTTATATACCTTCGTCGCGGCCCCCAAAATTCGGCAAAGACAGGGTAATCTTGTCAAGTATCGTTCGCTATACACGTATTACAATATTTCCCTCTTGTTAATGTCAGGGGTTCGAGCCCCCTATTGGGAGCCATGAATGTCAGGGGTTCGAGCCCCCTATTGGGAGCCATCGCCTTCAGTTTCTTCGCTTTGTCCGCATTCAGCTTTATTCGCCTCATGCCTTAATTCATCTGCCCATCTAATTCGGTCGGCGCAATATCTTCAACTCCCCCCCTCGCCGGCCGTACCATATTTATCCCGTTACACGTTCGCATAATGATTGCCTTTGGTACTGGTTTGGTCAACATGTCCGCCAAATTTTCTTCGGTCCTGATATGCTTGATTTCCAGCGATCCGGATTGCACATTATCCCTAATGAAATGGTACCGAGTATCAATGTGTTTGAGTTTCCAATGTTTCGCCGCGTCTTTGCTGACTTGGACGCATCCCATGCTATCGGTCAACATTAACGGTTTTTCTTCGGAAACCCCCAAATCTCGCAGCAAATATTTGAAAAATAATGCCTCCCTCGCCGCGTCTGATGCTGCCACGAATTCTGCTTCCACCGCCGATAGCGACACACATTTCTGTACCTGCGATTTCCAACTGACCAAATTCCCGAAAATGAACGTCGTGGATCCTGAGGTACTCCTTCTGTTCGTCGCCCTCTCTGAAGCCCAATTCGCATCTGTGTACGTTGTTATTGGATGCTTATTTTCCTCTTTATTTTCGTATCGCAAAGTGTTTTCGGCTGTCTGATTTAAATACTTTAATACCTGAATAGCTGCTTCCCAAGCTCCTTCCCTCGGTTTCGACATGTACCTCGCCAATGACCCACCGGCGAAGCTTATGTCTGGTCGCACTGTATTTGATACCCATAATAGTTGACCAACCAATTCCTGATAATTCTTCGATTTTTCCCCAATTATTTCTTCTGTTTCTTCTGCGTCCAGTGGGCATATCATTGGTCGCCATGATTTCTCGCCGTTTGGTAGCCACTTACTGATCATTTTCTTGATGTATGCTGCTAGATCTAGATCGAGGATTTTCTTGTATCTGTCTCTGGTAATTTTTATACCCAAAAATTCGGTTACGGGTCCATTGTCCTCAATTTCCCATTTTCGCCTTATGTCGTCTTTTACTTTGTTTACTTCTCGTTTGTCTGGAGAAATTATCAGCATATCGTCAACATAGGTGGTGATAATTACCATTTTATCGCCTTGTCCTTTGAGGTAGATGCACGGTGCACAAGGTAGTCCCTTAAAACCTATGTCTTTCGAATGTTGATCCAATATTTTATTCCATTCTCGCCCAGATTGCTTGAGCCCATAAAGTCCTTTCTTTAATTTGTAAACCTTACCTTCCGGTACTTGTGTAATCTGCGGGGGCTTGAGGTACACCTCGTGATGCAATTCTGAGTTCAAGTATGCTTGAACCACATCAATGCAATCAATTTCCCAATCATTGAACGCCGCTATCGCGAGCACAGCTCGTATTGCTTCCATAGGTGCAACCGGCGCAAATATTTCGTCATAGTCAATTCCTTGCTGTTGTGTGAATCCTCGTGCTACCAGTCTTGCCTTGTATTTTGTTGGTTTCATATTTGCATCCGTCTTGATCTTGAGTACTAATTTGGAATCAACCAGCCTTACGTTTAATGGTCTGTCAACAATTTCCCATGTCCCTTTCTTTTCTAATCCCTCGACTTCTTTCATTATCGCTTCTCTCCACTTTTGTGCATCTTCGCGTGCCATCGCCTCTTTGACCGTGGGCATCAAATCTAGCGTCTCTACTTTGGGATTACCGATGAGAGCGTATTTTCGCCTATCATTTGATGATTTTCTTGCTTTATTCTCGCTTTCATCGATTTTGGCTCCTGTTGACGAATTAGGGATTTCCTCGCGCTGAAGCTCTTCAGATGGAATCTCCTCCTGAATTTCTCCTTGGTTTTCTGGGAAATCATCATCCACTAGGTGTTTTAGGGCATCCTCGTAATCTTCGTAATTCGCGTCTTGATCCTCGTATCCTAGATCTGGAATTTCTGCATTGTCAACCGGTGCTTTTGGCGGATAGATTTTTAATGGGAGGAACTCTGTTCTATCTTGCCAACTTTGTTGTTCAAGGAATTTAGCCGAATTACTCCAGAATAAATCCGGTTTGTAGTTTGGACTGTAAAATAGCCAACTTTTCCTTGTCAGACTGTATCCAAGCAGTACCGCCGCAACAGCTCGAGCATCGATTTTGCCGTGTTCCCGCCTTCCTTTAGGAATAAATACCCATGCAAGACAACCAAATACCCTGAGTAGTTGGACAAATCGATCCGGTTTCCGTTTAAATGCCTTTTCGTACGGTGTGAGTCCATGTTGGTCTGGAGTGAGGTTAATGGTGAAAGCCGCTGCTTGGACTGCAAATGGCCACAGGTTTGCTGGTAATTCTCGTTGGCTAAGCAGCGCTCGCACTCTCTCCATGAGTGTGCGATTCATCCTCTCTACACGCCCATTCTGAGTACTGGTGTATGGCGAGGTCTTTTCCCAAAGAATTCCTTCATTCGCGCTCCATTGATCTGCTAGAGTGCTGGCCCATTCTCCACCATTATCTGACCTGATTCTTTTGACCTTGTTGCCTGTTTGATTTTCCATGAATTTCGTCCAATTTTGTAGGCACCCGAGTGCATCGCTTTTCTTGAAAATTGGCGTAGCCAATATGTACCCGCTATGGTCATCAACAGCTACAAGGATGTTCCGATATTCAGATGTCCCTGATAAATCTGTAATTAAATCGACGTGAATTAATCCGAGTACTTCGCTGTCCCTTTCTCCACTGCCCTTTCCCATTCTTGCCTGTGTGCTTTTGGCAGCGATGCACTCGTGACAATCCAATGAATCTTCAGGGTCCAATTTGACTTCGCTTGATTCACTAAATCTCTTGATGATTGCTCTAGCTTTATCTCGGCCTGGGTGGCCGAGCCTTTCGTGCCATAGGTGTTCCTTGGATACTTTTCTGCTCGGTTCGCGAATTTGCATTTTTTCTGGTAGGCATTCGAATAATTCTTCTGTCTGATGTAGCCCATAATTCTCACGCTGGTTGGTACGAATTTCCAACCAATTTCTCTCAACATTTTCTTTTACTCCAATAATCACACCATCTGGGAAATAAATCTTTCCTCCTGAATTTTCAAAAATCACTCGTGCACCACTCTCTTTCATCAAGGCAATAACAGATAATAATTTTATATTCGCTTTTGGAACATATAATACATTACGCAGGTGAACTTGCATAATGCCTACATGAGCGAATATATCTCCAATTGCTTTGATCTCCAATGATCCTTCTCCGGCCGTGTGAACTTGGCCTGAAAAAGGTTTTGGGTCAACGAGCAATGAGAAATCATTTACCATATGCATGCTCGCACCAGAGTCCACAACCCAAGTATCTGGGTTAATTTCTTTGTGCGAGCTCGTGAGGGTGCACCAAAATTCCTACTGGCTCGTTTTGGCGTCCGGGGCCGGCTGGTTGTTTTGTTGCTGGTATGAGCACTGCCTAGCAATGTGCCCAACTTGTCCACAGCTATAACATTTCGGCCTCTCATTAGGCTTACTGGGATCGCGCCGTCCTTGCCAATAGTAGGGAGTATTGGCCTCCTTGGGACCACTTACATTTGCTGCCCGAG